AACGTTCTGCAATTATGAGTATGAACATAGACAAATAGAGTGTAGCTAAAAATCACACTCACCTGTAGAACAGGGAGTCAATTCAGTAAGTTCACAATTTCCCTGGGCGGTTATATCCTTTCCCCAGTTCAGGGTATGGGTTCTTTCTCTACTAATAATGTCCTGGTGTGTACTCCCCTACTGATCTGACTCTAGCAGATTCTCGAGAAGCCAATTCTCTCTCTCGGTCTACTTTACCGACAAGAGCTCTGAATGAATGAGCAATGAGTTTGATTATAGCTATTCAAAGTTTCTTTGTTTAATGTTGAGATGCATTCAAGTTCAGATATTCACGTATTATTAAATCTAAATGATCTTAGTACAAGTTTAATGGTTCTTTAGTAATTTCTTGATGGTAGTCTGAAATTATCCTGTGAGAAGTATCCATAGTTGATAGTGGTTCGGATGAGATATTAAATAAAGAGATGTGGTATCATGCATTTCTTTCTTAATCCAAAGAAATGTCCTTTGAGTTACTTTTCTGCTGATGGATACCTCAATAGGTGGTTCCAACATTTAGATGAGTCATCTGCTTTTGAAGCATGATCATCTTGACCTGTTTAGGATCCCCAGACCCATTTTTTTAATCTGCACTGTCTTTAATCTCTTGATTGCTTCTCACCTTTGTCCTTTGTTTCATTAATTTTTGTCTCTGCAGCTTGTTAACTCCTCAGTCAATGAATTCTAACCCTTTTTTTTCCTTGCATATTGGCTAATCCAGGAAAAACAACAAATGTGAGTGATTCTCGTTCATAGTTTTCTTTTCTCTCTCTGGAAATCAAAATTTTATAGTTTTGCATGTATGTTTAGCTAGTACTTTATTCCTCTAGAATAATGCATGTTTTACTTGAAATCTTCATTTTATGATTTGTTGTAGTCTGTTAATTACTTGGAAATGGAATAAAAGATGCAAAATTCAGGAAGTTCAAGTCATGGTTTCACTCACATATTATTCAAGTTTCAATATAAGAGAGTGCTGGTATCTCCTACATGAAGTAAATTATTGTGTTCTTCCTTGTTTTTAAATGCCGAACTTAGTTCTAATGAAGAGAGATGAGAACCATTCTTATTTTTTGTGAAGTATTTACAAATGCTTGTTGCCCCTGTTATATCTCTATGTTGTATATGCCAAATTGTAGCTGGTCATGGCGTGAAGTATCTAATGTTATTTGCTTCTCATCCTTCATGCTCGTAAAGCAAATTCTATGCACTGAAACTACTCCATTAAACATCTATTGGGAGTTGCATAACTAGCATTATGATCTGCCTACTTTTGTCCTGCATCATAAGATGTCTGACTAATAATTTCTGTAGGTTCCAAGGGAATTCCTCCTACAAATCCTTGGAGAAGATCGTGTAACTAATTTTGTGATACAAGAAATAGTCGCCTCAACCATGGCAGATTATGTGAAGAAGGCAAGTTATTTTTGCAACACTTAATGTTGGTCTTCGTTTTGAAGCTGAAGCAAGTATTGATGAGTTTTTCCCTTCAAAACAGGAAAATCTGAAGGTGAAGGAAAACAAAATTAGCACCACTCAAAAGGCAGAAGAACTCAAGAAAGTGTTTGTACCTGGAAATGAATTTGGATTTAATGCTGTTCTAGAGCTTGAAAAACCTGAAGCTGAAACTGAGAATGAAAATGAAACTGAACCTGAACCTGAACCTGAAACAGCAAGTTAAATTCACCAATTTTGTAAAGCACTTGTACAATGTGATTATTTTCAGAGTAATCTATTCATTTGTAATTGCTTTTAGACTATTCGTATTGTTCTAATAGATAGCTGCTCTCATCAATTAAATAGTTCTAATTGCTGCTAATTTGAGACTCCTGCATCACTGTCAAATCATCAAATTAGCCAAGTACGAAACATTAGACACATGATCATCCATGGTGTAAACAGGCATCATCAAGACTGAAGAGCTTCATATCCAAAGACATTGAGATTTGTAGATGTCAAAGAGGCAATGTCATCGGTGCTTGCCATGGAGAAACAAATGTCATTGTTTATAGCAGTTTCCAACTTCCTATGTAGTGGTGTTTTTTTTTTTTTTTAACTTGTTCGAGTGAGGTTTAGAATTCTATATAAAGAGCATGGGAGTGAGCTCCTCAAATCATAGCAACAATCACTCAGGTTTTCTCTTGAAAGATTTATACGAATCCAACACCAAGTGCAATGGGCTGTGGAATGAGCTCAAATTTTGTAGATATCTCTCTCTTCTTTGTAACTTTCATGCATTGATCATCATCTTCTTTATTTCCCTAGCTTGGTCTTATTTAATTTTAATTTTTTATTTGTTTTGTGTAAGAACTATACAGCACTATAGCAGCTAGGTTTATTTGAGAATGTAATTGCAATTATTTTTTAAAATATTTTTTATATTAAAATAATTTTTTATTTTTAAAATCAGCGTAGCTTATCAAAAAAATTTAAAATATACAAAAAATATAATTTTTAATAAAAAATTAATTTTTTTGGTAAACCGCGTTCTCAAATATTTTCGAAAGAATTTTGGACCATCATCCAGGTTTATGTATATATTGGCCTTGGTTGATAGGTTTCGTTTTGAGGTTAGATTATTTTTTATATAAAAAAATAATATTTAGATATTCAAATAGATTTAAAAGATGATATAAAAAAACAAATAATAATAAATATTTAAAAAGAGTTAAAAGAGTTAATTTAGAATCCTAGGAGAGTAAATAATTAAGTTATGAATAGGTTTAAAATTTAATTATCAAAATAATAATTTATTTTTTGTAAATTAAAATAGTGTTTGGCGTTGTACTAAAAATTATTTTTTATTTAAAAAATATATGAAAATAATAATAAATATTTAATAATGCTAATTACATTTAAATTAACATGGAATAAATTTTTTTTAATTATTATCATTATTAACATTATTGTTGTTGTTGTTAGCATTGTCATTGTTATTATTATTAATATTAATACTACAATTATCATTAATAATAATATTATCATTGTTATTATTATTATTATTATTATTATTATTATTATTCTCATCACTAATTTAATTATTATTATTATTATTATTACAATCATTATTGTTGTTGTTATTATTATTATTTTCATTATTATCTATAAAACCAAAATCATAAACTTGATTTGAAGAATAAAATTAAAAATCATAAGAACTTTGTCAAAAGAGAAAAGGATAAAAAAATATAAAATTAAATGCAGAAGAACCAAATAAAAAATCATTATATATACAAAATTAGAAACCAATTGAAAACACATAAAAATTTAACAAAAGGGAAAATAAAAAAAATATATAAATCAAACTGAAGTAAAAATACTAATATCATTAAGAACCATAATACATTTATTGGGGTAAAAAAAAGAAATGAAGGGGTTATCTCTGATAAATTAAAAATATTTAGACTTCACGCATTACCTAAAATGAAAAAAAAATGAGAGAATCTCATTTCTAACTCGTGGTCAAATCTCATGATTGGTTATAAAAATATTTGAAGGATAAAAATACTCTTACACAAATCAATAATGATAATTAGTTGATGTAGAAATACCAAAATACTCTTTAATTAAAAGCAGGCAATCTTTTTTTACCAATGCTATATAAGTCACTCTAGTAAAGTGAGTCTATAACCATAGTAATTTTATCATAGCCATATTGTTTCTTCATTAGTACATATTCAACAAAAAGAAAGCATTTATACTTATTAGCCATGTTGATTTACTCTTTTTTTTGTGTGCTATATTTGGGACACGCATGAGCCAGTGGCGGTATTGAAAAAGCTCAGAGAACTAGAGAATTCAGTGCAAATCCATGAATTTAATTTTCAAAATGACATCTAAGGGAAACAAGTAATAATAATAAAAGGAATCTTCTTGATTTTATTTTATATTGATATGATATTTTAATTAAATATTTGAAACAGTATTTTGATTAAGAAGTTAAAAAAACGCCAAGGAGCATAATGGCTCAAAAATATATATAAAACAAATATCTTCTTAATTTTATTTTTGTTTCAACGTGACTTTTTAATTAAATATAACTGATTACTATGTCAAATATTTATTTTAGGAGCACAATGGTTTATGAAAATAAATATATAAAAGATTTTAGTGATTTTATTTTTATTTTGACGTGAAGTTTTAATTAAATATAATTGATTAATATGTGAAATAACACATTGATTAAAATGAAATAATAGCACAATGGTTTAGAAAGAAAAAAAAAGAGAAATGTAAAGGGTTATTTTATTGTATTTTTCCTTTGATATGACATTTTAATTATTATGTAAGACAACACATTTTAATAATATATATATATATATATATATTAATGACGTGCCATGGAATATATATTAACCAAAACTAACTTCTTTTTCCATGGCTACAGTCTTCTCCTTGACCCGTGCAAGACACGTGCAATCGTGGATCACATGTTAGCCTGCTGTACTGACGATGGCTAATTATTGTATACTCTATGCAAAAAGAGAAAGGGAGTGATGTGTAGCTGTCTCATGTAAATGTGATTCATTTGTCAAACAGAAGGACACTTTGACTGAGTCCTCTCCTTGTGTTCCATCAGCCTTTAAACATTTCTGCCTCTGCACTCCGTCTTATGACCACTCGTATCATGAGACACATGTCTGTGAAATATAAACATTTTGGATATTTGCAGAGGAATTTATCGATAATATTTAAATTTAAATTTAATAAATAATTTTTTATTTTCCTCTTTTTTTCTCTATACAAATGAAATGATTAAAAAATCAATATCTTTTCTCGAGTATAGAAACATTAAAATAATAAATAACCCAATAAAACTAGAATCGAACCACATTAAAATATACTATATAAATTAATAACAATAACAATAACAATAATAAGTTAAAGAGAACTTTAAAATATAAGATTAATATGGGGATTAAATAATGATAAAAACAACTGTAAAGGTCAGAGAATCCACTAATTGTCTAACAAAGATCTGCCTCCTTCTCCTCTAGCTTCTGTCTTTTAGATAAATTGTATTTAAATTGATAATTTTAATAGTAAATATTTGGTTTTTTTATTTTAGTTTTATTTATTTTAAATATGTTCTATTTATTTTATTTTTTTTTCTTTAAAATATTAAACATGTTACGGCAAAATTATTGACGGTCTAAGCCCATCAAAAAGTTCCAGAGAGTCGGGGAAAATTACAGGATTTTGTCATTGACCATTACAAACAGAACCACCACCAAACTAAGTCCCTGGAAGAATTAAAAAAATACAGAAAATATCACTAACCATTACAGATTTATTTCGTCAATGATATAATCACTGATGAAATTACTAATAATTTTTATATTGGTGATATCCCACACTTACCGTTGAAATTATTGATAGAATTATATTAATATTTTTTGTTATATAGCATATTTTTTTTAATATATAAATTTATTAATAATTATATTACCCGGAGAAAAACCAACATAATAAAAATCTTCAACAACAAGATTTTCAAAGAACGTGTATCATTTGGGATTGTATTATCTAACTAATGGCAAAATAAAGCGTCATTATTATGTGTACTCTGAATATAAAGTTTTTCAACAACACTATGCTCTAAATCTTTAGAAAGAAGAAGACAGATTCTTACGTGGGAAAACGTGTATCCTGTGTTTCATGGCCAGATCTTTGAACTTCAACCTTAAATAAGAAAAACAATAGTAAGAACGGTCTTGAAAGTTTCACTTGATTCCTGCTTGTTGGAAGCTTTCGGAGTGTCTTTGAGATTGCATTAGATGCCTATCCTTTCAATGTTTTTTCTCTATTTTTATCTTTTATTTTGATATTTAAATTACTATTCAATCTTGTCATGATTCTTAAATGATATTATAGATTTTAAAGGAAATGTTGATGGTTTTTTTTTTTTTATCAATTAGCCTAATATGTAAAAACAAAAACTTGATCATAAACATTTCATGAAAATAAAATTTCATTTCTATAAATTCTTTTATAGTTATTTTTTCTTTAATCACGTATAAAATATTGAGACATTTTTTTTTCAATTATTATGTACCTAAATCAATTCAAAATATTATTATTCAAATATTTTTATTTAAAAAAAATTAATTTTTTTAAAATATTTAAAATAAATTAAATCAAGTTTTGATCAAGTTAACCAAGCTTTGTGTGCACCAACCAAGTGGTCTATATCACATTAAATTAACTTTTACCTAGTATACTTTGAAATCTAGGTTCATACCTCAAGTCAACATGTCACAAAATGAATACAGTAGACATAACATGGTATAGTAGACATAACATGGTTTAGCATAACACAGACAATTAACTAGTAATTCTTGGTACATGTATAATACTAATAAATGTATATCATTTTACTGGGAGCACCAAATCAAATGTAAAGTAACTATGCCAATTTTAATTGTGAATCAATTTAATATGTATTTACTTAATTTATTTGCAAATATCAATATTTATTGAGCTTAGTTTTGATTTTAATTAGAGAATAAATATTTTCTAAGGTGAACCGTACCATCTTGAACTACTTGTGAGCCATCATTTATTTCTACTTTAACATAATATTTTTATTTAAAAAAATCATTTAAACGTTTAGACATTAATTTAATAAATCACTTTGTTTATATGCCTAATTTTAATTAGTCAAGCGTATTCCATGTTACTCTACGCTATAAAAACCAGAGCAACATTTAGCCTCATTACTCCCCAACTCCCCTGAACCACCCTGGATTTCTCTTATACACTGTTCGAAATGATTCTTGGGGCTCTCTTTTTGCTACTTCTTTATGGCCTCTGGAAAACTTTGGCCAGAGAGAGAGAGAGCAAGAAACTAGCCAGAGTCCCTGAACCATCAGGGGCATGGCCCGTGATTGGCCACCTGCCTTGTCTAAGAGGCCAGGACCCAGCATGTAAAACCCTTGCAGCCATTGACGATAAATATGGCCCTATTTACTCACTCAGGCTCGGTTCTCATCGGATAGTGGTGGTGAGCAGTCGGGAAACAGTAAAGGATTGCTTGACTACCAATGACAGAATTTTGGCTACCAGAGCAAACATAGCTGCAGGAAAACATATGGGATACAACAACGCAGCTTTTGCGTTGTCCCCATATGGAAAGTACTGGCGTGATGTTAGAAAGCTGGTCACTCTTCAGCTTCTATCAAACCACCGGCTTGAAATGCTTAAGCATGTCCGAAAGTTAGAAGTAGACGCATTCATCAAAGGTTTGCACAATTCTTATGCGGAAACAGCGGAGTACCCTGCGAAGGTGACTATGAGCAAATTGTTTGAGAGCTTGACGTTCAACATAAGCCTTAGAACGATAGTTGGAAAACGATATTGCAGCACCATATACGACAAAGAAAACAGCGAGCCATGGCGTTACAAAAAAGCCATAGAAAAAGCCTTGTATCTGAGTGGGATTTTTGTAATGTCTGATGCAATTCCATGGCTCGAATGGATTGATTTTCAGGGACATGTAAGTGCTATGAAGAGGACTGCCAAGGAACTTGATGCCGTGATAGGAAGCTGGCTGGAGGAACATCTTAAGAAAGAAATACAAGGGGAAAGCGACTTCATGGACGTGATGATATCTAACCTTGCTGACGGTGCTGCTGAGATGTCTGGCTACTCTCGTGATGTTGTCATCAAGGCAACAACTTTGGTAAGTTTGCTAGCTAGCTGTAAGCTTGTCGTGCGTTTTCTTCCTTAATCCTTCACCATATCATATCATCATATATATCAGTAAGCGCAAATTGAATATTCCCGTTTTCCATGGTTACAAGACATAATTCATATCGGAAATATAAAACAAATTAGAGAGAGTGAATTTTAAATAAGCCCTTAATCAGACAGAAACCATGGGGTCTATAGACCGGATGACCACTCCAATAAAGTAGGGGCATGCGTGGTGTTATGATCTTAGGCATGTTTTAACCCAGGCCAGGAACCACTTAATCTCCAAAAAGTTTCTAATTAACCCTTCTAACATCTAACATTTCACGTCCAAAATTCTTTTTAGAATGAAGTAAATTTGAAGATGAACAATGAAAGTTAATCAATCTGACCATCATCATAGCAAAATCATGGGCTCAAAAATGAACTTGTAACTAGCTATCAATTATGAGCCATAAGCCCAAGTGTTGCCTTTTTTTGTTCTGAATATAGTAATTTCATTAAACAGCAGATCTGAAAAAGTTTAGGAATTGTAGGTCTACTTACAGAATGAAAAAAAATAAAAAACCCTTAGTGTAGTAGAAATATGTTAACAATCGTTGAAGTAAGAAAATGCTGCCCTTCATCCAATTTAATTCCTTTTCTTTCTTTCTTGTGGCTGGAGGGTAAGGGGGCCCTGGACCCCTGAGACTCTCAAAGTCCGTCTCCTACCATCTGGACATCTTCTCAGGTGCAGCCGCAGGGTTCTTAACTTCCATCTATTTTCAATTTTACACCTTTTGTGTTAATTCTGCAGATTCTGACCCTCACAGGAGCAGGAAGCACAGCGGTTACATTAACTTGGGCACTGTCCCTGTTGCTAAACCATCCAAGTGTGCTGAAGGCTGCTCAAGAAGAGCTGGACAAGCAGGTGGGAAGAGAGAAATGGGTGGAGGAATCAGATATTCAGAACCTCGTGTACCTCCAAGCAATAGTGAAAGAAACTCTGCGATTATACCCTCCAGGTCCCTTAACAGGAATACGTGAGGCCATGGAAGACTGTCATATTTGTGGCTATTATGTTCCTAAGGGCACTCGATTAGTAGTGAACATATGGAAGTTGCATCGAGACCCCCGTGTGTGGAAAAACCCAAATGACTTTCAACCTGAAAGATTCTTGACTACTCATGCTGATCTTGATTTTAGGGGTCAAGATTTCGAGTTCATTCCTTTTAGCTCGGGGAGAAGATCTTGCCCTGCTATTAATCTTGGCATGGCGGTTGTTCATCTGACCCTTGCTAGGCTTCTTCAAGGGTTTGATTTAACAACTGTTGCAGGGTTGCCCGTGGACATGAACGAAGGCCCTGGCATTGCCCTACCTAAGCTGATACCACTTGAAGCTGTCGTCAAACCACGTCTTGGATTACGCCTGTATGATTAAGCACCCGTTCATTTCCACGGCATGCCGCCAAAAACAGTTAAAATAATATTTTTATTAATATTTTAAGCTGGTCTTTTGACACGTAGACAAACAGGAACGTAATATTAATGACTTCACCACTATGAATATTTAGTAATTTAGACATCTTAATTAGTCAAGAACTGTATGGGCTTTTGTATCAGATTAAGCTTCAATGTTATGTAATGAAGTAAAATAATAAGAGATGTGTGATTTGTAGTGTTTGCTATGATATAAAATGCATTATAATATATGATCTTAACTTCCATAAAAAAAGGGATAATATATAGAACTTATTTGATTAATATATTATCATATTCAGAATAAATTAATAGATTTAGATCGTAGAAGTGTTCATGTTTCTAATGATTTAGATTAGGAGAGAGAAATAAAACTAAGTACAAGGAGTTAAGTTAAATTATATCCATTTAATTTGAATGTAATGATTTAGATTTAACGAACATAATGATCATGTCATTAAGAAAACATGAGATGATCTCAATTCCATACTAGAAAATCGAGTAATTGATCATATAATTGTACTATATTAATCAAAATATATTAATACTATTAATTTTCTTTTTTTGATATGAAGGGGTTCATGGGAATTTAATTTGGCATCTCGTTTATGTACATAAAATTATTGAGAGTGCTTCCAGAATTTGTCTTTAGTATAAACTGCCAATTTTCTTTTTCTTTTTTTTTAAAAAAACCCTTACACACCAACTTTTTTTCTTTTTTAATTATAATTTTAAAAAACAAGATCTAGTCTAATAAATTAATTGTTGATTCAAAGTCTAGAACTAGATGTAATAATTGAAAAAAAAAACCATTGTTTTTAGCTTTTTTTTCTAAAGAAAAAAACAATATAAATTAATTTGGATTAACTTCTTTAACCTATGAGATTTCATCAAAACAGGTTTTTAAATATGATTTTAATCATGGATTTCGTTATTGCCATTGCAAAATATATATGGTCTATAGATCTAAAGTAATATGTTGGAGGAAGCAAACTTTTAAATTGTAAGATTAAATACATGCAAGAATTTTGCCTTTCTATTCTGAACTGATGTGAAACTTTTGGAAGCATGAATGCGAGTATGAGAACGATGGAGAGAGCCCAAAAATGCTTGCTTCAAAACAAGAAGTAAAAAGTTGAATTCTTGAATGTGTCATAGTTGTTCACCAAACTTCTCTTGGAAACTGAAATGTTTTTGCTGATATGGTTACTTTGCAATAATACCATAAACCTATGAATTGAGAATAATCAAACAATTGTGTTCTTTGCAGCTTGCAAAGATCATGCATGACCATTTGAACAAGTCTGTTCAATCTAAACCTTCACTATGAATGAGCATGATAACACACCCCAGCAATGGTTAGAAACTTTTACGCTTGAAAATAGTTTATTTATTAGTGACTATAATAATTGTGTGTATTTCAAGAAGTATTTCGATAATTTATTTGTATATTTATTGTTGTATATCGATGACATGTTAAATGTTTCAAACAACATGTTAGAGATCAATAATGTAATGAATTTAAGATGAAGACTTGAAAATATCTTGAAAAGATACCTAGCGTTTTGATATTATATAAAACTGCAAGCTAAGGATTACTTTATTTGTAGCTCGTTTGTTATTTTCATTTTTGTCACTAGAAAATAACAAGGAGAATGAACACATGTCAAATGTTCCTTATGTTAATGCACTTCAAAACATTATGTATGGTATGTTCTATATTTGTCTAAGCATTTTACATGTTATTAGTGTGGTCAGTAGATTTATGAGAAGTTCTGATAAGGTTTACTAATAAATCGTGAAATGGATATTTTGTTATCTTAAAGTTACCGTATATGTTGGCCTAATATATGATAGCGTTAGTAGCATTAAAAGTAATGTTAAGAATTTTATAGATTAAATCACGCTGGTGATTTAAACAAGAAAAAATCACTACAAGTTATGTTTCCACCCTCTCAGGATGTGTCATTAGTTGGAAAGTAGTTTTATTATTTATTATTGTTTTATCTACAACAAAGGGTTAAGCATACAGAATCAATAAAGATAATGAAAAAAAATTATGGTTAAAAGATTTGATTACCGATCTTAGTTTATGACATTAGTTAATTATTATATATTGTTATAGCTAGAGTGTTATTTACTTGGTCAAGAACTGGATATATCATTTACGGACAACATATATTGATATAAAGTATCACTTTATTGTAGATATCATGTCATTGGATGATGTATTAATGAAAAAGATTTCTATAGTTAAGAACCCTACAAATATTTTAATGAAGTCTATCTCTACATTGAAGTTTAAGCATTGCTTGGACTTAATTGGTTTATATAATATTTAAAATATGCTTATTGAAAGCGAGTGGACAAGAGTTCAAAATTCATACATTGGCTCAATTTAATCCAAAATAAAGATTTGATGAGTTTGTTTTAAATTATCAGGCCAGGAAAGAAAAAAATACTCATGTACTTAGTTAATATATAAAAGCTTTAAATTATTATATTTTAAATTAATATTTATTTACAAGTGTCTCCATTCTTAGCATTTAGGTGGCTAGAGAGTAAATTTTCGAAATAAGATCTTGAATAAAAAATTAATTTTACGTGATGCTTTGTAATCTCGTATTTTTTTTTATAGTATATGTCTTTGATCGTCTCACCTATAGAATGTCTCACCTATAGAATAGACTTAAATTGTTGAATCATGTAAATATATATATATATATATATATATGTGTGTGTGTATCTCTAATTTAAGATTTTAGGGTTGTTTTCTCAACAAGCATAATTACAATAGCAGCACGAAGAACCCTGGACTCCTAATACAGCAATGTAGGTAATCTTCTAAAAATTTGCAGCATGTAATATGCCAAATCCTATAAATATGTTGAATGAACTTAGAATAAGTGCTGAACAATCCACCAAGGAGCGGAACCAGTTGAAAAAAGGCTGATACTTGCTATCTTTGTGAGGTCTAAACAAGCCACCGAACACCTGTGCTGTTGCAAGATAGAATCGGACAATGCCAATGATTTTGTGTGAGGTATGTTCGATTCCATGTGACTTCAAGCCAAGAACAATCCCAGTCACAAATCCAGGAAGAACACCAAGAATACAGGCCAGAAGTTAACAACTGACATGCAAGTAGAACTACATAGGGTTTGCAGGTTCTAACCTTTCCAAGTACCTTGCAATGATGGCCCTGGCAAGCATTAAGAATCTATTATGCATCATTGGAATGTTTTTAGACGTTGTACCTGCATGCCAGAGATAATTGATTGTTTCCATGGAGCTCTAAACTTGCATATATTATGGTCTAATTGTTCTGATTAGTAGCAGTTAAATCGAAGACAAAAGGAAAGAAAGGTATCAGAAGAATCACTTAACGAGCCATGCTACGGCAATAGAAGGCCTCAAGAGAGAGCAGCACTAATAAGCAACTCTGCAAGGATCAAAAGGAAATTTTCAATATGAATTGTTTGTTGAAAAGCTGCCGGAAAATGGTTTTTGAGGTTAGATTTAAGTTTAGGATTTTACTTGATTAATTTAATCAGTACGTCTCAACAGGAAAGACAGCTTGCCGTTTGATGCAAGAGTAGCTGCAAAGAGTTCAACTATTAGGTGGGAGAGACAAGCTGATAGCAGTGATTGCCAAAGCAAACTTGCTGGTATAAGTTGCTAAAGAAATTCAAGAAACATCATGGAGGCAACGGCACTAGCACTGCTCTGTCTGTTTTATCTCTGCCATGGCTTCAACAATGGCATTTTTTGCTATACAATCGGATCGAGCACGTAAAGATGTAAACCAGACAAGCCAACGCACCAACTTGGCAATGATGCTCAGAATCTACATGGCTTCAACTCTAGCATTTTTTTTCTACACGAGTTGCTTGCTGTTATAAAACTAGATTACCTGGTTTTGATTTAATTACTTGTCTATGCTTTTTAGGGTACACTGAATCTTATAGCAAATAGTTGTCAAAATGAGTCTGAAACTAATCTGATACCCAACAAATTTCCACTTTCTTGCATTTTGAACTGGTATGGAACTTTTGGAAACATGTAAGGAAACATGAGAGCTGATGAGCCTCAAAATGGTTAAATAAATAATTAATAGAAAGGGGATCTGATAACTCTGTACATTCACCTAATTTTAGTTTCACATTCCAGTGAGCAAACAAGTTGCTGTAACAATTAATACAGGGCAAAACTGGATTCATTCTCAGAAGTGCAATGTTTTTCAAGATGTTTGTTGAAGCTGAATGACAGCATCAAAGCTGAATTTTTCATCTGGTTCAAATGCATCTTCAAGATCTTCAAAGCTTTGTTCAACTCTCAAGTCTTTGCTAACTTTTAAGCCTTCCCATAGAAGCGAAAAGATAGTGTTAATGCCAAGCATTAGATTCATAGATAAAATGCCTTCAGAATACAGGGGAATGATGCAATTGGCTGCACCACAGCAGCTGGACTGGAGGAAAGAATAGCATTCCAAGAAGCAGTACTTCCACAAAGAACACACAAAAGGTCATTTGATTTTAATAGAAAACAAGAACAAAAAACAAAATTGCTAGTGTGATGAATGTAATGGTGGCTAGAGCTACTGGATCAATCAACTTTCAACTATACCATTCAAAATAAACAGCATTAATGCTGGTGTTGGCTCACGATTTAAAAGTTGGTCAAGACATTCATCAAGGTGTATGGACAAAAAAAAAGAGAAAGAGAGAAAGATCAGGTTAAGTTCTCCATTAACATGATTTATGATGTCAGTTTCTGTAAATTTGTAAGCTCTTCCATTGATTTCTTTCCTAGTAATATTTCTAGTCATGTGACAAAACTATATCTACTTGAAGTGTTTCCCAGAACACAATTCATTGGTTAATCACAGCACCGTGAAGATAAAATAACTTCATGACTTTAGAATCAATCAAGAAGTTAAAGTAGTACTGGTTACCTTATCAACATATTCAGCTACGGTAGAGTTTATGACTTTCTTGATCACTTCCTTGTAAACTTTTGAAGGTCCAAGAACTTCTAACAAAATGTCTCTGGGTATCTGCCAGAAACAAACAATAATAAAATTCTATTATATATGTGTATACGCATGTGTTTGTCCAAGCAAATGTATAAGAACATGACTGCAAGAATGTTCTTGTCTGAAGTCCACATGCATAGGATGTAATCGTTAGCTCTCTAACTTTTCAA